TTTTCGAATTGAATCTTTCCCAAAATGAACAACTAGAACTATCTGAAAAAAACGGAAAATGTACGTCGAAAATTTCAAAACCAGCGATATCCAAAACACCGATAAAATACTTCCGATTTTCTTTCATTTGGTCAAGTGTTTTGTTACACCTATCGATGAGCCATTTGAACATTCTCGAATAGATAGCTTTGCCAAGACCGGCTACAGCCCAATGCACCTGAAAAAATATTTCATTCTCATTTCATGCATTAAAGTTACTGATCATTCTTATAATTCATAAGTACAATATCTATTCTTCCTTGTAAATCTGAAAGCGGAATGAATTCAAACTGATAATCTATTTAACTTTTCATTCAGAAACATACTTGTTCTAAGTTTTGACCCTTATTAACCCACTCTGCGCCGACACGAACACGTGGCTTTGTTAAAGCTTTTAGAAATTCTTCATGATCAACGCCGAAGCAAAAGCCAGCATTCTTTGCATCTAAAACATGGCGACAGTAAAATTCAGGTGCTCCAAACTCTTCAATTATTAGAAATAGAAACTACGACACTTACAAAACATGATAGGTCAGAATGGGAAGAAATGACAAACTATCGAACCTTCCTCTCCGTCTGGTTCTGCTTGCTCTTCACGCGGTCGTTGCTTAAATTTCATTTCACCCATATGCATAATACCAGCCACATTACTGTAAAGGTCGCGAGTTTCATGATCTTCGAAGCCCATAATATCAAATGCTTCCTGAAACAATACAATGAAATGATAAAAATGAAATTTTAAGTTACATTTAATCCGATCTGTTTAGGTAAGCAATTATACCTGCGTGATTTTCATTTCCTCCTTGTCATTCACACCATCGATGGTCAGTTCTGCTTGGGAACAAAAGTGATAATACTTGATATCATTAGTCAAGCGTAATTCTTCTGCAAATTAATACATTTTTAATTTTTTCATTATAATTTCCAAGAAAATAGAAAGCTATACTTGTTTCATTTCAAATATTCAGTTTTTGCTAAATAAGATAAGATGTTGTCGTAATGCTAACCTCTTATTTTCGGATGAAAACCAGACATAAGCTGATAATAAATATGATAACTACGTTCACCAGGAGCTTGTCGCACAACGCGTGACTTTTCAAAAAGATCTGAAAAAATTTCTTAAATTTCTGAGCAAAATTTCTGAGCAATTTCTGAGCAAGTAAACGGAAATTTGAGAGATAATTAATTAATATACGAAAGGATAGTGTCAACTCTAATTTTTTTGACACAAATCTTACTATTTTAATAAATTGGAAAAAACAGAGAAAAAAAACTCACAGTGTTCGATATCGCCACCGGAAAGTTTGCCATCTTTGGTGAAATGAGTTCGAATGAATTTGCCGAATCGTGAAGAATTGTTGTTTCGAACCGTTTTTGCATTACCTGTAAGCATGATTGTATTTCAGAAGCTCAGTACTTTACTGCTGTACAATATTATAAACTCTGTGTCTTTCTTATAAGTGAACTACAAAATAATTCTTAATTAAAAATTCTTTGAACTTTTTTTCCTAAGTAAAGCATAAGATTAGGTATAAAGTGAGTAACTAAATTTTGTAATTCAGTTACTTTTAATTTATCAAACCCTAATTTTTGAATTGCAGTAACAAGAAGAAGTTTCTGGGAGGAATATATAATTCTTGCAATTAACTTACCGAAAGCTTCCAGTACTGGATTAGTTTGCACGATTTGTTCCTCCAGAGTTCCCTAAATTTTTGAAAGATGACTTACTAAGTCTTGATGAAATGGCTTTTATCGAAATTTTCTAGATTATAGTTCCGGAGGCAATTGCTTTGAATAGAGCTTACACAGAGACTGATTTAAGAACTTTAGCCATCATTATCGTCTAAAGAAAGCTTTGAAACATGATATTGGTCATAAACGTTTTCAAATTCAACGACAATCAAGTGGGAATCCAAGTCGGCCAACTAATTTGTAGATTTTTTTCCAGGAATTTATTAATTTCTAATTTTTTCAATAGTTTGAAATTATATTGAATTACACATACTCCCTTCTTGCCTTCTTCCTTCTTCTGCTGCGTGGCACCAACAATAGCAAAATATGCAATAACTTTTTTTGTATTCTCAGTTTTACCAGCGCCAGATTCACCGGTAATCAGCATTGATTGATTCTCATGATCTAGAATTAAATTAGAGTATAACTGGAGTTATTTTTCTTGGTTAGACATCAGTGCAAAGATCATATAATTACTAAAATTGCGTCATAATCCTAAGTCATATCGACATTACCAAACAACCGGAATCGCTTCATAATTACTGTAAAGCTTTCGTTATCAACTATTTTTAATTTACCTCTACACTTAGTATTAAATTAACAAATAATATGTTTTCATTTAATAAAGTCATAACCAATCATACCAATGAGAATATTTCGATATGCTTCATCAGATACGGCGAATAAATGTGGTGGCATTTCGTTTCGTCTTTTACCCATATAGTGTTTAATGATAGATGGGCTATAGATGGGCAAACGCTTATACGGATTAATTACCACACAGAAGAGGCCAGAATATGTCTAAAATATATGATCAAACTAAATATATCATAATAAATTAGCTAATTTTTTCAATACTTCAATATATTTAAGATCTAATACGAGTAGCCAAGGAAAATTTTAATTTTCATGATTTGTGAAATTCGATCATAGTTCGATATTAAGCTTACATAAATCATCATAGAGTAGTATCGCTCTTTTAAATTGTTAAGTACAGAAGCTTCATTCAAAAATGTCAAGTTGGCCATATCTTCGGTTTTACTGAATTTAGGAGGATTCATTTCCTGAACTTCCTCCTTTTTCAGCGTAATTTCATTGCCCTTTACAGTAACCACCGTTACATTATCGCCTGCTGATGATTTTATTTCAGCAGCAATAAAACCTGCAAAATTCAGAATCTATCAAGAATCGCTCTATGATAAATTTATTTCAAATTATTAAAAAGTTCATCCATTTAATCTCTTCTTTTTGTCATGATTTGATTTATCGCTCTCTTGAAAAATGTTTGTTTTTTTTATCTCAACATACCGTCTTCAGTATCGGGAATCCAGCAGTTCTTCTTGGAATCAAATGGCTTTGCAGCATATTGTGATTTTCTTCTCGACTAACCTCCAAATACGGATAACCATCGTCTTCCTCAAATTTGCATAATTCAACATTTTCTTCATCTGCTGCCATCCTTGCTCGAAAATGCTAAAACGAACAAACATCTGCACTTATCACTTCATACTTATGAGAATAAATCAAAATGCGATCATCATCAATGCTATCTAACATGAAATCATACAAAGAAATCAAAAGTCGAGAACATGCATTGTATGAAATAAAACATTGATATTAGTGCTTTGGAAATTTGTACTATTTTAGAGATTTTCTACAAGAGCGAGTGAATTTTTCTATTCCAATTCTATTGATAACTCTTGACTGTGATTGAGATGAATTGATAACTTTGAAATCTACAATTAAATATTTATATCTTAAGGTATATGCAGTTCATAGAAATGTTCGAGATCTCTTTACTTTCATCGTTTTAGTAAAGATTTGCATTGGGGCTAAAATATCACACTCAAAATTATCGTGCAATGCAAAATAATCAAAGCTTTCCGATCTTCAACGATACTGGAATAGCTTCTGCTTCATGAAAAAGATTCTCTCGTAATTCATAACAGGGTGAAGAAGCAAAGGATAAAGCTTTTTGAACCTTATAAGACGTGGAAGTACACCTGACTTTTTTGCAAAATTAAGATAAGTTGGAAATTTTCAGTTTGAATTTTCGGTTATTAAAGAACTCACCTCAACAAATTTGTAGTTTACTCATAACAGGGTGAACTAAAAATATATTAGGTAAAGTGAAAGAAATCAAGAAAATTAAATATTGAAATAAAATTAATACTTAAATGGCAAATATCCGAATACTTCAACAGGTAGGAATAATAAATATTGCAATATGTCTCATTTATCCTTCTTCGCTTCTTTTTCTTTGATTTTAAGAGCAATTTTAAAAATTCAAAAAAGGATTTAAAAATGTGAACTCTGTTTCTGAACACTAAAACTGAAAGTATAATTAGCTGCACCATAAAAATATCCTTAATTATATAATTTTTATTAAGAGAAGTATTCCTAAGCAATTGCCGCCGAAAAATTGGTCAACGGAGGATTATCGCGTATGATTAATTCATTTATTTTTTGCTCATATCCATCAAAAACATTTTATTTATCTATCGATTTACTCATTCATCAGCCAAATCCCTTTTACCAGCTATCGATCTGTTATTTCTCTACTTATTTTTTAGCTGTTTATTTTTCTGAAGAAGCAGAAAGACACGAATACACTAAAATTTGGACAATTGAAATCAGTCTTATGTAAGCCAAAAAGATAAATAAATAGATTCAAAGAGTCATTTTTTATTTTTTAGTAGATATGAAAGTAGGATTTTCGAAATTTCAGTTATGGTTGAATTACTAAATATAAAAGTTCTCTCCTAAATTCATAACAGGTCAATGTTAATTTTAGCTGACGAGTTTTTGCAAGCAGAGTTAATGAACGAGATTTTGCAAAGAAAAAATAAAAATAATGATGCTTGATATTGTTATCTCAGGATTTGCAGATAAAATCAAGAAACAGAACAAAAATATTCTGTGGTAAATGAGAGAATTTTAAACGAGTGCGTTAATTTGAAACGGAAATTTGAAAGAAAGGCAAGAATAGATCTGAACTAAATAACATAGTATTTCAATAACTTCAAATCCATCATAGTGATCTCACAGGGTCTTTCGAATTTTTTAGTTAGGATTAAAGTTCAGGAATAAAAGCATATTGAATCAGCAATGCTGTTCTATTTCAATTTCTGACTTTCGCAGAAGACACAATTCAGAAACAGTTATTCTGTACTTCCAAATTTCTGCAAATGTACAAGTACTTATTTAAAAAAACGAATGTTGAAAAGAGGTTCAAGTCTTGGCTTCTATTTCAGTATGACCAAATCTGAGAATGTTAATTCTGTAACACTTTTTTCTTTATGGGGAATTTCACTTCTACCTATTAAAAAGTCGCCGGATGTAAATATTTGTATAAATATAATAAAATTTGAACTAAAGTGAAATGATAGTTTACAGTGATACTAATAAAGATGAGATTTTAGGTCATTTCAACGGATTTTTGTGAAAAATGTCAACTAAAAGATTGTATTAGGAATTGTTTACTTAACAAATAAGATTAATATGATCAATTATTAACAAATAAGATCAATAAGATTAATATAAATGTTTCTTGAACACAAACATTGCAGCCGTATTGGTTAATTTACATGGCAAATTAAGTTCTTATGATTCAATTTATTGTAAACGAATTTTTTGCTTAACAAATAAGTTGAGATTAATAAACAAAGAGAGAATAAATGTGCTACAGAATAAGTTTGGCTATTGTAGAAAGGAATGAGTTCATATTTGTAGAAAGCATTAATGGCAATAACTTCAGAAGTAAGGAAGGACAATGAGATGGAAATGTATATCAGTCTATGTGGAGCGGTTCTGGTTAGGGTTCTACAGCAAATGGCTCCAAATCTGTGTAATATAAGCCTTAGTGATGGTATAGACAGGAACGGCTGTTTTGCAACACCAAAATAGACGATCGGTGAAGGAATCAGTACAGAGAGATGTAGATATAGGTGGTAGATCTGCTTATTGGAAGCATATGCTCTGTTGGGCTTCTTTCTCCTGTTCAAAGAGAACCCGGAAGTTCAGAGCGCGACTAATTTATTGGGATGGAGAAAACAGAGTGGGTAAAGAAGGCTAAAATTAAACTAAAGATGTGGGCGGATATTCATTAGTAAGTTGTAAAATAGGAGTTAATAAAAACCAGCGAGATCAGCAGGTAATGTGAAGTAAAAATAGGATGAGAAAGATGGAGGCAAAAGAAATCGGAAAGAATGCGGAGAATGAAAGCACCGCAGCAGACATTTCAATCTTCCTCTTCCTTTTCACCCTTTCTTTTAGCAGCCTTGATTTCTTGTTAACTCGAACTTTTTTGAATTTCTTTGTAAGCATGTCATTGAGATAATAGGATGGAAAAATAATTTGAACGCTAACATTATTAGTATTATCAGATAATCATCGAACGAATGGCACTGTCTTATCATTCGAAATATTTCCCGCTGGCTCACTTTTTTAAACTCGAGAAAAATAAAAAGTGAAATTGAGCATTACTCGCAGAAATAACAGAAGTGAAGGTTAGAAATATTAATTTTATTACATCAAATTTGTTTTCCACAACTAAAAACTTTTAGCGGCAATGTTTCGAGAAGGAAATGAATACCAATTAACAGATGGAACTATATCCTTATCGTGTGTTATCTTTCCCTTATCATTGCAATTAAAACAATAGTTGCAATTAAAGCTTACAACTATTTGTTGCAACATTTCCGTTTTCAATAACAAGCGCCGCAATATTCGGAAAACTTCAACATTTCAAAATTTTTGTACTAATGGAAATACCATTTAAGCTTAGTGCATTGATTCGACGTTATTTGCATATGGATGGGAATGTTTGAATCTTTATTGCAATAATCCAATTAAAGTAATTAATTTGATAGAATTAAGCATATATTTAATTCAAGTTGCAAGTTACTTCCACATATACAAAAAAAAAAAAAAGTAGCAAATACATTTGATTATGATTTACATTGCACATGCAGAATTAACAGACTTATTTTCATATGAAGTAATCACTGATAAATTGAATTTACAATCAGATTATTTTTATCAGAGGAAAATGTATGATGCAATGATTTCAACTTTTACAGAATAGAAAAGACAGCGTTTTTTTGTACAAAGCTTCATAAAGATCGGAGAAAAAAAAGATTTGTTTGTGAGATATACGAAGATCTCTCACTGTTCTTATGCAAAAAAAAAGAATGTTTCTGGAGCGCATTTGTTCGGTGAAAGATGCACAACTGCTTTGCTTCAAGCAGTAATATATCTAATTAAATAACTGACCATCTTAAAATGTTAACATGTAAACTTTCCAATTACTACGCTAAAAAAAATCATCGACTGTATTTTTTTCCTTTTGTATCATTAATTGTTAGGTATAACTAGTATTCAGAAAAAACTAGTGTTCAAGAAAAAGTTCGTTGAAAACGTCTTTTTTCTTGAAGAAATTACGAAGTCCGCTTTAGAATTGCCTTCAGTATTTCATACGAAAGACATTTCTTCTCAAATCTAATAGATTAATTTCATCTTTAAACAAGCAGTCACTGATAAGGTACTGTGATTACGGTGGTGATAAGTGTACAGGAAATTCAATAATCGTTTCAAAAATATCATTACAAGTCATCTTTTTTTAGACCTGCTTCCTTCCAATATTTCGATTTGTTTCAAAAAGTACATGCTTCAAAATCTGGAAGCACTTCAAGACATTTTGACAACTGAGCATATGATATGAAGCCGTTGATCCTGCACTGATCAACGCTGCTCATCCTATTCTTAGTGTTGACAACAGATACGCCAGCTGTTGGCAAAACCAATCTTTGAGCTTTGGAGTTCCTGCAATAACTTTTCTTCCTCTTCGCTTTAGACAAACAAATAATTTCAGGTTTCAATCCAATAAATAAATCCATTATTCTTTTTCAGGCAATTCCATTCTAACTCTTTAATATAACAATTAAGTCTACAATAACTAATCAATCGAAACATTAAATTTCGATCTACTCAGATATGATATTTTAAGACACAAAGTAATACTGTTACTCATTTGTCAAATACTGAAGTGTTCCAGAAACGTAACGATAAGGAACACTGTTTACTTTCATTCTTATCCTTGCAATGTATAATTCAGTTAAAGCAAGACTAGATCTAACAAAAGCGGAGGGTGTTGATGCTCATTTCTCTATGCAAGCTTTTGAAGCTCCTATTTTGTATAGACCTAATTCATATTTCCCAAACTTATTGTCATCTTATTGAAGTACATTTTGAAAATTTTATGCCACAACCATGTTTTCATCACTCATTTTCAGAGCCAACTGTTGATGTAGACTGAAAAGATTAAGAAGTATGGGATAAGCAATTAGCGGATTTGGATCATTACAGTTTTGAAACCCTCAGAATTTCTCATTTACCACACACGAACGCCAACACTTTGTTCCGGTCTCTCATCAGTACTTCCAATGCTTTTCGATTAAACAGTCCCCAATATTGGAAGTTTGCGTGGTACGTCTCTAGTTTGGGTTGCGAAAAACATATTCCTCGGTAATGGAGATTTTCTAGACATTATTGTTGATATTAAAGGTCCTAAGTGAACTACTTCCTTGATTTGGAGTCCTGTCGGAAACTCTTATTTTGCAACCTTGCTGGGAACTGTTTCGTGACATCGAAAATCAAGAGATATATACGTGATCCTAAGAATAAAGATTTACAAAAATTACATTGGATTATAATAGCATTAATTAAATTGATACTAGGAAAAAGTTTTCTTGCGAAAACTATAAAAAATATGATGTCCACCCTTTCCTGTGTTATTTTCGGCATTTTCAAGAGAACAACTAGTACTGCAGATCTTACTAAAGCTACTACTAAGATTCCCTGCAAATACATTTACTGTCACAGAAACCAAATGAATCATTTACTCACAACGTATTTATTGTAATTCTGTTCATTTTACACATGAAACATAAAACCTTCAGAAACCACTACAAAAATATCACCGAATCATAACTGTGACTTTTCCGTGTCATTTTTATTTTCTGGAATTTTTCGTATGGTGAAATACGAAGTAGGCCGAAAAATTTGCAAAGAATTTTCTATAATTTTTCTATAAAATTTTTCTTTTTTTCTTCTATAAAATAAAATATTTTTTTTCTATAAAATTTTTCTTCTGCAGAATTTTCTATAAAATTCTCTATAATTAATATCAACTTGACAGGAAAAATTGTAAAGCGAAAACATCACTTTATCACATATCTTCAGTCATCATCGATCACTGTTAAATCCTGCTCAATTTTTTTCATCATTTTCTTCTGTAGCCGAACTTCTCCTTTGTTACCGCTATAAAAATTATTTAATACATCTCTGTGAGAGTAAGCAATAGTTTTTCCCAACAAACGAATGAATTTAATCTACTTTAAGGAAAGCTTGAACACTGATAAATACTCAATAGGAACTGCAAAATTTTGCTCCGAAATGATAAGAGGATGTGAGATTTACCTTAAACTGGCAGCAGCTTTCTCTCGAAGTTCTTCCAAGTTATTGTCGGGCTTAGCCCACTCCAAAACTAACCTTCGACCGTAGAAATGAGTTGAATGAACCAAACCACTGAATGCACGTCGTGCATCAGAGCGAGTTAAGAAATCAACGAAACCGAAACCTCGATGACCCTCCGCCGACGCACCAACCTACATTATTAAAATGGTCTTACCGCAGAAGAGAATCAAAAAAAATAAAATATCCAGCAATGTTTTGAAAACACCACGAAAAAATCCAGCAAATACTGCGAACTTTGGATAACTAAGCAATGACTGGTAGCAAGTCAGATAAACTGGAGCGGAAATTTCCTTACACTACAACTGACTTATGTCCCGGAAAAACTGACGGCGTTAACAATAAAACAGCCTTTCTACAGAAACAAATGAGTCAAATAAACCTGCCTTTTTCGGCATTCTGAATGAACGAATTTCACCAAAAGTAGCGAAAAGCTGCTTAACTTCCTTTCGAGTTGCTTGAAAAGGTATATTTCTGATCAAAATCTGGAAAAAGAAGTACTAAAATTATTGTCAGTAAAGAACAAGATCTTATTCATTTATCAATTCCCATTCCAGCAGTTTCCCTCATAATTTTGAATATGGGACGAGCTGAATACTAATGTAGATCTTTTTGATACAGATAGTAACGCAAGAAAGATACAGCAACAACTTGCTGGAAGAAGCTTACGTTTTACTTTAAGTCATCCACTCGTCAAGCTTTGAAAGGAAAAATTTCAATAAATTTTGAAATACATATTAAGCTACTAAATTTGTTACAAAAATTTGTTTTTGCCGATAATTTATCACGCTCGCTAACTGAATTAAATAATAATTAAAAAGGAGACATAGTATGGTTGTCCTTTGTTAAAGCGAACTAAATGAAACCAATTCCATAAATGGAATTCAATTAAAACCAAAATTACTTTGGTAGCTTCGCCTTGCTCCAACTCAACAACTCCTTTTCTTGCTGTAATCTTATCAGGTACAACTTCTCTGTGAGATAATTTCAGCATCAAGCAATGACCATCCAATAAAACACCCTGAAAATAAAACAAACAAAATAGAAATAGCACAGTTGAGCTTGTAACTAAAAAAATTTCTGAACATTTCCTTTTAGCTACGAAAATTATCATATAAAAGTTTTCCACAAACGGACCTGCATTTCCTTTATAGCTTGTTGCGCATCCTCTGGCTGATAGAACGTAATAAAACCAAATCCCATTGAGAGTGCTTTCGTCGGA